CGCATACATGTTTTTTTGTTTTTTTGTTAACAGTAGGATTCCAAAAAATTTCTAAATCTAAAGACTAATCTCATGAAGTTTGCATCCGGGTACGCGTTTGAAAATATTTTAAATTTAAACTGCGGCTAGATGACCAAAACGACTCGAACCCAATATTCTCCTACTTTTAAGTTACCGCTGGACCAAAGCGACTTGGTTTATACGCATACATGTACTTATTCTAATTTGTACAATTTCTTATATTATATTTTAGTTTTTCTTCTAACTATATGGATGTTGGTTCAATGCATATATGCCTAGATTCTGTGAAAGGGAGACTAATAAATATATTTTACTAGTCTGAAACCTTAATAACGGACGGTGATTTAACAGGCTTCATTCATTTGGTGTTCGATACAACATGTTCAATTAATGAACATAATTTACAACATTTGTTTTAAAAAACCTTAAAATTTTTCACAGTTCATTCAAAAATTTATTTGCTCCGTACTTATTCGCACACTAACCATATTCTAAATAAATTCATTTCTACAGTTGCAAATTGGATAGGAACCATTTCTCTGGTTCAGCTTTTTATTGCAAGAAGTTTGTGAATCTTCTTCAATTTGGAAGGAATATTCATTTCTTAAAAAATAAGGAAGAAATATGGAAAGCACATGCAAACATCTCGTAGTAATAGGAATCACACAACTGTCGAATAGATTCTGCAAATGCATATCAAGCTCATGTAGAAAAATCATGCAAGGGTATAATAGAAATTTCTTATACGAAAAATGTTTAAAGTTTTCCGCATATAAATTTTGAGCTTCGTATGGGTGGCTACAAAATTATGCCAAGTGGAGAGTGGTTACGTTCCCATGTTCGAAGCTCAATAAGAACGAACAATATTTGTATATATATATGTGTCAACTACAACGTCTATATCTAAAGATATACTCGTATAGAAGTGGAAAACAAGTTGATGTCAACAAAAAATTAAAGGGAAAAAAGAAATTAAAACATCGATCAGTTCACATGTTCCATTTCCACAATAGTACATAGAATATATAGTCACTACCCATTTAGGCATATTCGATATAAATATAGAGTTACCAATACTCATCCATACGTTCGAGTTTGAATATCTCAGTAAAATTCGTATAAATTAAAACATCGATCAACGGTCCATTTCCACAAGTCGTACTTTGTACATAGAATGTTTGTATAAACTGAAAATTAAAAAAATACTAAAATAGTTAGAGCATCTCCAATGGTTAAATACTTAATAGGTACCTAACCAATATAATATTAATATTTTAAAAGAGATTTTGAAAAATAACCTAAATTTTAATGAAAATTTGCAAAGTACACTTAATTTTGTAAAGTTGGAAAAATATAATTTTTTGTTACGTAAAACTACATAAATACCCCTATACATATTTAACTTACTATATAATTTAAGAATAATTTCAAGTTACTAAATTTAAATTCAAAATTTAGTTTTGTATTTATTTTTTATTTTTAAAAATATTTTGTTAGTAAATTAATATCTAAAATCTAAATTCGTTATTTAATTAAAAAATAAAGATTGACTTATATTACAGAGTCGATTTATATTTTGGTTGGTTGATTTTTTACTTTGTTGATTTATTTATACAATTGATTTATTTTTTTATGTTCGTCGACTTAATATTCAGCTTCGTCGACTTATTTTAAACTGTTGACTTATATTTCGTTTGATTGATTTTTTACTTTGTCGACTTGTTTAACCATTGATTTATTTTTAAAATTTTTTCGATTTAATATTCATCTTCATCGACTTATTTAAAACTGTAGACATATATTATCGTTTGCTTAATTTTTTACTCTCTCGACTTATTTAACCATTGACTTAATTTTTAGTTTTGTCGACTTAATTTTCAGTTTCGTCGATTTATTTTAAGAGAAATTTTAAAAAATGCCACTTTTCAAGTGCCACTTTACAAAAATGCCACACTTTTGTAATCTTTACAAAAATGCCACACTTTTGTAATCTTTACAAAAATGCCACTTTTTCAAAATTATTATTTTTATATTATTTATGTTTGGGTTAATTATGTTCTATATATTAGAGTTTAATTATGAGGGTTAATGGGGTTTTAGGGGTCAAAATATTTTTTAGGGTTTAGAATTTTAAGATATATGTTTTATAAATCTATAATTAGTGGCATTTTGCAAATGGACACCCCTAAGTGGCATTCTTGCAAATGTGCACACAAAAAGTGGTATTTTTGTAATTGCCCCTTATTTTAAACTGTTAAATTATATTTCGTTTGATTTGACATTTTAAGTTATCGACCTATTTAAACTATTTACTTTTTTTTTTAAATTCGTCGACGTAAATTTTTTTTCATCGATTTATTGTAAACTATAGATTTATATTTTGGTTGGTTGACTTTTTACTTTTTCGATTTATTTAAATAATTAACTTAATTTTTATGTTCATCGATTTGATATATTATTATATAAATTAATTAAATCATAAATTATCAAAATTAATTCGTAATTTTATTTTATAAAAAAATATCAATTGATAATTTTATTCAAATTAATATATTGTAATTTAACTTAATTCTTATCTAGAATTTTT